TTATTTTACAATCACATACACTGGTGATCTACTAAACTTTTGTCAATTGTTTTTTTCTTCTTTTTTTGAGTGTTAAACATTTTAATACTACTCCTCAGTGATTTTAACCTTCTTCGTTATTTATTAAATAAATAAAATTTCCTAAATCTAGAAAATGTTAATTATTTCAGTTAATTTCCTTAATGAATTATCTAGAATTCCTCGAAGCTTCATATTAGAACTTTCTAGAACTTACAATTTAAACTATGTGATTTATCAAGTGTAAACGATAGCCAACATAACATTTTATCTCCTTAATTGAAATTAGTCTACCTTCAGTTTGTTAAGCTAACTTACCAAAACGCATATTAAATTTCAAATTAAATTCACCGCAATGATAATGAAATCCAAAAACTGCCAAGAATCACGAATTCAACCAATCTAGAATTAAGCTAACTATTTAATCTTAATAACTTAACGTCTAATTTTTGGAAGTTTCGAAGTAAGTACCGGCGAGAAAACTTTACTTTAGATAATAAATATTTCCATAAGAGTACTTTTAAATAACCATGTAAGTATTTTGAGCGCAATTAGAGTTAAATGCGTGGGTACTGAAATTATTCCCATTGCTGCAATCATATGCCGTCATTAGAATTTATGTCACAGAAGTTGAGTTGGAAAATTAGTTTCGCAGAAATTGTATTTTCTTTCTTCGAGAATTAATTTAGCGTATTTTCGATAAATTTAGAAAATATGCAATAGTGAAAAATTAATCATTATTCCTAAATAGAAACATCCTTCGCAATATTTAAAAATTATTTTGCAAATAATTAATAACTTTAATAATAATTAACCATGTAGCACACTGCAAAAATTCTCAAAAAAGAAAATTACGTTGAAAAGAACCGGCACTAATGTTGTCAGTACTTTTTAAAGTAAAATCCACTTTCGCCGGAATATTATACGAAACTAAGTCTGACATAGCGTAATAATTAGAGTAATAATTACCAATTTTTACAGCATTAATTACCGTAAAATCACTGAATTATTCTAATTAAATAAATATTATAATAAAAACTACGGTAAAAATGAATTTTACGGTAAAAGGAATTTTATGGATGATGCATCGAAAATGCCGGTAATCTATACCGTAATTGAATTTAGAATCGCAGTGTATGTTTGATAGTCTGAAGATATACATTTTGTGAAATTTGTATGATGATATGATTATTGAACTAATGCAATGCAGAGAAAAAAGATTTTGGTTAAATTACCGTACTGTATTCTGGTGTATACTGTATTCTAGTGAACAAAAACATAGGTCGTGCAATAAAAACCAAAGTATAGGGTATTTAAATAATTTGTTTGGAGATTTTTCCGTTAATATGGTAAAAGTTTACCGAAAATTCTGGTTTTCAAAATTGTAGTTCTTACTACTACAAATTTAGTCAGAATTACAAAATGGTTTTTATGCCAGTCTCTAAGGTATCATAGCAAAACCACCAAATTTTATCACATATTATCAAGCATATTTTACTGTTAATTTTTCCAAAATCATCTCCAAAACGTTTCGATAAAAATAATCTAACTTTTTGGTGTTCCCATAGAGTCAGAAATACGATAAATTTCACAATATTCTAGTAGTTATGACCATATTTTTTTCTTAGTACATTTACACTTTGATCATACTTTGAGGGTCAAAATTATTAACCTCCTTTATCTTGTCATTTTTAGTTACCTTATCAGTCTATTTTTCTTTCCTTTCCTCTTTTTTTCGTTACTTACAATTAATAACATATTTCCCAGGGGATTTTAGGACGAAGATGTAGCTGTAGCATCAGGAACTACATATTTTATTTCTTTCAGTCAGGACAGAGGCAAGAAGAAAATGAAATAAATATTTTATATATTTAACTGAAAATTATTCCCCAGAATACATTATAGTAATTTGTTTTGTAGCATAAAACAAAGCTTTGCATGTGATTAACCAAAAAGAGTTTTTAAAACGTCAAATTAAAAAGGAAATAGTTCATCGCTTCAGTTGAACTATTAAGATTTATTGGTCACGGTGGAACTTATAATTTCATTCATTTTGAACAAATACGCAGGTTTTGGAACTATGTATCGGGAAGACCACAGTTTGCACTCAAGGGTGGCATTTCTATATCAATCTGATCCTTTCTTGATCCTGTATTGTTTCCAGACATAATTCAATAAAAAAATAGGTAAGAGGCATTTTTGAAATTTTACAACCTAAAAACAGCTGCAAGTTGAGAAATGTAACAGGTTTTTAACATTTGCTCTAAAGAACATAAAAGTTGAGATTGTCACAAAAACGCTGTCCTGCACAATTTGAAAATGTAACTCATCATTCATTTAGAATAAATATAATAGAAAATAATGGAAACAATTCCAATACAAAAAAGAAACACATAATGTGTAACCGCTAGCAAAATAAATTATGTTCTGAAACGATAAGAATAAATTTAAATATTTGGTACATGGAGAATAAATTCTGGTAAACTACCAAACTGTATGTAATGACATTCCTGGCTTAAAAAAAAAAAGAAAAAAAAACATAATTATGTTCAATAAAACTAAAATATACGGTTTTTAAACTATTCATTTGGTAATTGTTTCGTTCATATGGTAGCGAATCACCGGAGATTATGGTTTTAAAAATTATATTTTATATTGCCATACATTAAGTAAAAAATATAAAATTGGGGAATAAATTTAACCACATAAATGGTTTTTATGCCATGCTCTAAAATATCATGATAAAAGTATAAAATTTTACCACATTTACCAAATTTTATCACATACTATAAAATTATATTTCATCGATAGTTTTATCAAAATCATTATCATAACACTTCGGTATAAATTATCGAGATTTTTGGTGTTCCCATAGAGTCAGAAACACGGTAAATGTAACTATATTTTGTTAGTTTTGACCATAATTTTTTCTCATTGTAGTCATTTGACACTTGGTTATGAGCTTTGCCGTTTAGATAACTAAGATTTGTTAGATAACTCAAGTTTTGGTTGAAAGCTAATACTTCCTTTCCATGCCAAGGGAAGAGTTATTTAAAAGCTACAACAGAAATATGTTATACGTTTAAGACTGTAAAAATGCAAGAGACATTTCTGGAACTCAAAACATGAGTCCATTATATGCAAAATGAAACAAAAATGTCATCACGGAATAATTTTTGATGCAATGAGAGATATTCATACAGCAAAAGCATATTTTGATAATGCATATTTTGAAAGACCATCTACAACAAACAATTCTTGATCAAATTACGGCAAAAAATGCTGGAACTCAATCTAAAAGTACATTTAATCAGAAAATATATTTTACCGCAAATTTTTATGAAACAAAATATCTGATAAACAATAATTTTTATATTTCTTCTTTCGGGGAAACCTGTAACCCCTACAGGTAGCATTCCCAAGTGGCAGATAGGAGAATGTGTCCATCTGATCTTCCTTTGGGTGATAGAAAAGAAATAAAATATCTTCCGTGGACCAACAGGCAGAAGTCAAACTTTTATGGCTCTGGCTAATCTCATTTCCATGGAAAGTGCAACTTAGGAGGTCCTGATAACTCCCCGTTGACCCAAGAAATATTTGTCCCTGTAAACAGAATAGTTGCAGCCCAAAGAGCATGCATTTTGCTATGGATATAGACCTATGTAGACATTTTTGGTAGTAAGCAGGCTGATAACTTAACTAAAGAAGCCCAAAACTCTCCAATAGCCTAATCCTTACTGATTCTGATGCAATAACCAACAATATTGCTGATGCAGTAGGCGATCTTGCTGGGTTACTTCCAGCTGACCCAAGAAGTATTTGTCCTTGTAAATAGAATCGTTTCAGCCCAAAGAGCATTTTTTAATGGATATTGGCTCACATCTTCGGCAATATGTAAGACGAAAACCTATCCAAATAAGCCCGATTCTACCCTTAACTTTCCAATAGCCTAACCCTCACTGGTGCTGATACCCAGTAACCAGTCATAAATTCACCTCCCAACCACATAAGAAAAATTTGATCCCAGAGCTTAATTGCAACAGGGTAATTTCAACTACCATAACCTGACTACGCACATGACACTTTCTAGGAATGAAAATATCCCTTGATGGCCAAAGACATTACAATACTTGTCCTCACTGTCCTGAAGTCCAACTTTCCCCAGGTTATATTTTTAATTGTCCCTCTACTCTGGCTAATCTTCGACGCCTTCGGTGCTATTTGATTTCTCTGCACTACTTGGACAAGACAACAACAACATTACACTCCTATTTACTTTAAAATTACTGAACCACTGTTATTAAATAAATATTACTCTGAAAAGTTTGGTAATACATTAATTTTTACTTTAAAATTCCTGAGGCACTGTAATTAAAAAAAAAATCATGGTATAAGGGATTTTTTCCGAGGCTGCTCTCATGGCGCCATTACTTTTTACCATATTCTTCTTCTTCTTCTTCTCATTGGCGCGACAGCCCAGGATGGGCCTTGGCCTTTTCAACAAGCCTATGCCAAGACATTCTTCCCTTAGCCAAGGTTCTCCAGTTAATTATCTTTAAAATTTGCAGGTCCTTTACCATATTGAGTTCTTAAAAATTTTTCAGTGTTAAATATCCAAAGAACTTTAGAGGAAATGATAACTAAGACCCTTAATGTTGTTATGTTACCTTGTTACCCTTTATGTTGCTTTACTTCTTACGTTTTTTCACTTATCTTTGGAATTAACTGCATGCATCAAAAACTTATATGCTCATGTCGATATCAAATCGCTTACTCATTACCGAAGTGTTTCGGTAAAGACAACCAGGGATTTTGGTGTTCCCATAAGCCTGGTAAATTTCCCATAAGCCTGGTTCCCATGGTAAATTTTACCAAAAACATATTTTAATTCTTTTAGGCATTATCCCAAAACTTAATAAGTTAAAATGTAATAAGTAGGTGTTCATGAAAATTTAATAGAAAATAAAACCAATAATTTTTTGAAAACTTAATTTATTTAAATGGTGCATTAGATTTTAATGCTTTGGGCCGTTCTTCATCAGTTTTGATTTTGTATCGACTTTTCAACTTTGGTGCAGGCTTCGTTGAACTTCCACAGGTAATTGCATATTTCACTTCCTTTATCAGCAAATTGAACATTGATACCTGTGGGGGAAAAAAGAAACCTTAAAAGAAAATACATAGACAAATTATTGACTTTATGTTTATTAATGACGGTAATTTTTTATCTTCTTTTGAACCATAGAAAAAAGTGAACAACTCAAAATGAATTGGCATTATAACTGAAGTATTTAAACGTGGTTATTTCTTAACATTAATAGATATGAAGATCATGTCATTTGGTATAAGGTTTAAGGAGGTTAGAAATCTTATCTAGAAAAACAACTCCATCAGTTGTGAGATAATTTGTCAGTTTCATGACCTCTTTAATGCGGATTCTAATACCAGTGTTAACACCACAATATTTCTACCATTCCTTCATATGAAGAGATTCTAGTGCTCGGCACTTACTTCTAAATTGGTGACTCTGGACTTATTGGAAGACAAAACTCTCATTAATGGATGGATAGTAGAATCACACAGCTGCTTATCACAAAAAGCCTAGTATTTTTCATCCACTAGAACCATGGAAAAATTGTACAAACTAGTTAAGCGTCATTAAGCAGTTCACCAAACAAAACATAACTCTACTACAACCTAACGCTAATATCCAGTTAAATTTGATTTTTACAACCTATAAATCATACTATTTGTAACCTTATAATTTTATATTTATGTTTTTTCATCATACCAGTTGTAAATGGTATTAAACCCGCAAAGGGAAAGAAATATTTCTATCCATGAACCTTAGCGGTAAAACTTAACGAATTTATTGGATGAACAGATTTCTGCTGATTATTTTACCGTAATATTAGAATGAAAAGTTTGACTATGCATTATATTTTTAACAGTTCAAATGAAAGCAGTTGCAAAACTATTGAAATATAAAGCTACAAATGGACCTAAAATGAAATGGAAGTATATTTTTGTTTTATAAATCGTAAACAAAGACAGTTTTACCATTTTTATAAAAATGAACTTTTGGTACCCCAAAAATCTCTGTACGAAAAATTAAAGAAAGAAATCTACTCTCTGTTCACTGTTTCAGAACAGGAGTCTACACTACGACCCATAGACTGAAACCAGCAAATCAAAATAACAATCTTGATATGCCAGGTATCTAGCTAGCCACAGTATTTTTTTCTTATTAGACTTTAAAATTTTAAACTTGAACGTATCTTACAAAAGTAATAAGCAGGCGAAACAAAAAAGCTAATATAGTTAATAAAATCGTTATTATTTTTTTACAGCTAATCATTAGTAATATAGACTATATGATTCTAAAAACTTATTACACTCGTAAGGGAAGCTCTCTTGTGTAAGTTGCACACAAAATTCCGAAGCAAAATTGTTGGCACTTAAAACTAAAATGCGTTGATTTTTTTAAACTATTGCTAATGTTCATATAAGTAAAAATACTCAAAATGTTTTATAATAATATTTAAGATATTCTTGAAAAGAACTGTTTGGAATAAATTTCTGAATCTAGTAAGCAGATATGACCCTTTCTTTCATATCTAACAGATTTACCAGCATAAGTTTTAATTCTTAAGCCATTGTGAAGTTAATTTGATCTTTAGGGTAAAAAGGTAAGAGATCTTCATATTTATCAACATAGATTATTCAAACAATTAGCTCATACATCGCTTCTTTAGAAGCTTGTTATAGTGTCAACAAAAAAACTATTTCATAAGCATGGCATAGTTGCCATAATCAGTTTTTAAAAAATTTACAAAGTTCTACAAGAAAACAATGAATATAGCAAGAATGTGGAATGCAATAACTCAATAAATTTAACTAACAGTTAATCAGCATATAACGTGAATATGTACAAATAAGTAGCTGGGTACATTAGTGTAATGGCAGATAAATGACTAAACAATGAATTGTCAATGCAATTTGTGGGTAATTGAAAATAAGTTTTTAAGGGATTTTTAATACTGTATAAATGCATTTTTTAGAATTAACAAAATGATTATTGTTGATCTACCTGCATTGTGTTGAGATTTAGTACTTAAAAGTTTTAAGATGAGTTTAAGGTGCAGATAATTTGCAAAAAAATATAGAAACAACTAAAACTAAATAAAAAAATTGTCCAAATAATCTAATTACAACGTACTCTAAAAATTCAAAAATAAAACTTATATTAACTATTATTAACCACATTTAGTTCCCAATTATTTACATTATTGTATCTAAAAACTTCAATACACATTATCGCGTCGTATTATTGCAAACATGATATATAAAAAAAATTTGTATTTCAACCTACGACGTATGACGGTAATGCTGATAAACCAATAGTAATCATTATAATTTTATCCTCCGAATACTCATGCAATAACTAACATTTTAATGTCATTTAATGATTGAATGATCGACAACATTTTATGATATCATTTATCAAACAAACACTAATTTCTGCAGGTCCAGTATTTTTTTAAATATAAAATAAAATACAATATTACTATTAAGTATTAAACTTGTTTTAAAATTCCCAGAGTCCAAAATAAATAAAAAAATAACTTTATCTATTGCCTTATATTAAACACATCTTGAGATCTAAATTATTGACGTGAACAGTTGTAATAAATACAAATGTGCTTGATTTAAATTGTATTTATGCTTTATAAAAGAATCTACAGTACTGATACAAAACTCTTGGTAATTGTCAACACAATTACAAGTATCAGGTGTAAATATTTTTTCCTGTACTGTGTATTAAGTCCAGTTCAAGTACCTAGGAACCTTGATCTCTAGCCACAACAACCTGAAAATCGAAATAAATAACAGAATTTCCATGGCTAACAGAAGTTTCTACGGCCTCAGAAACCAACTGAAATCCAAGTTCATCAGTGTGAAGACAAAGTTAAACATCTACAAAACTTTAATCAGGCCTATAGCTACGTATGGAAGTGAGTGCTGGACCCTAAGCAAAATAGAGGAGGAAAAACTGCTAATTTTTGAAAGAAAAATTTTGAGGAAAATCTTTGGATCTCTTCAAGAGAATAACGTATGGAGAATTCTTTACAACCACGAANTCTAAAGTAATCACATGGCTGACAAGTGAATTGTTCACATTTGTGCTCAAATTGTTTTCTTGAAAAATACTTTCAAAATAAACGAAATGTATCTTTCTTTTGCAATATTTTGATAAGAATATGCATATAGAACAAAATTTTAAACATTTTAAGTTTAATATATAAAATAAAGTAACTTCTTTCACGTCATTCCGTCACATGTCTTAATAATGCAAAAAATTACTGAGAACGAAGATAAGATGTGACATTGGCAAGTTAGATATAAAACCTCTTCAAAGAGAACCTAATTTTCAAAATGTTGAAATTTTTACTAATTCTTACATAAATATTAATCCTGTTTATCTGTTACATTCTGTTTATCATTTACATATTAATAAAACATTTTTTAAATTAGGGCTTTCTTCTACTAAACTTTTTGTCATTCCGTCACAGCAAATAGATGTTAATAACTGCTAGCCAACCTGAGGTTAATTTTCCAAATTCACATTTTACATTGCTTACACATTATACTAAAAGTATAAAATAGTTCAGAAAAATAATAGCTGCAAAATTCGCAGAAACTACCAGTTCTAAGCGGCATGCCAAAAGCTTGGTTGCCAAAATGTCATTCCGTCACGCAAATAAAAAGTTCGTAAAATTAAAAGTAAAAAAGATAGAAAATCCTGCTTTTTTAGTTTATGAAGCGCATTATGCCAATAATAATGATATGCGTGATAAAAAATTTTTTTATTTGAAATTAGATACATAGAAACTTCAATTAATTGTTATTTTGCAAGTCAAAATGTCATTCCGTCACATATGGAATTGCCCTTTATCTATTGCGCTATATTAAATACATCTTGAGATCTAAATTATTGACGTGAACAGTTGTAATAAATGCAAATGTGCTTGATTTAAATTGTATTTATGTTTTATAAAAGAATCTACAGTACTGATACAAAACTCTTTGTAATTGTCAACAGAATTACAAGTATCAGGTGTAAATATTTTTTCCAGTACTGTGTATTAAGTGGTTAATTCTACCGTTTTCACCATATAAGAAAAATAAAAATGTACACACTTGTATATCCTTGTGCACTTTTCTTTGATACCAGATAAATTCGATGACTCCTATACAGGCAGACAGACCAAGTCCTAGAAGAATGACCACGAAAACACCTCCTACATTCCCTAATCCAAGTTCATTTGCACTTCCAGAGGATTTAGACACTCCAGAGCACTGACCACCTCCTTTTTTCTGCTTCCACCAGCGCTCTTTAATAAGATGAAGCTCACCTTCTTCCTGGAGTTTCAGTATGCCCGATGATAACCAATTACTCAATTTTAGGTTACCTGTTAAAACCCAAATTAATTCAATCCTTTAACATCATTATTTTAGAAAATATGATGTTTATTAGAAATATTTGGAGAAAATGGATTAACAAGAAGTTATGCACCGCATTCCATAAATATGGCATGTAGTGCAGCATTTGGAATAACATTTAACTGGAGGTTAAACAATTCCTTTTGATTTGAAAGTTTTTCCTTCTTTAAGAAGTTGAAAAAAGCTACTTTTTTTAAAATACCTTTGATGAAATAAAAATAGTAATGTATAATTTTTTTTTAATTCTTTTTTTTTAAAGAATACTTTCTTTAGAAAATACATTCGATAAAAGGGCTTTATAAGAAAATGTTTTGTTAAAAAAATACATTTTCAAGTAAATTCTTCAGAATATGCCTTCTTTAAGTAAAGGTTTTCATTAAAAAATATATTCTTCAAGAAAAAATATATTCGTTGACAATATATCCATTTCTTATAAAGATGAGTATTCTTTGAAAAGATCAGCAAGAGATAGAAAGATATGCATTTTTTTAAAAGAAAAAACAATATGAATTATTTAAACAAATATGAATTCTTTAAAAAGATAAGCTTTCTTCAAAAAGATCATTCTTAAATAAACATTCTTTACAATGACAAAGTCTTAAAAGAAGTTAAATTTATATTTCAAAAAGATCTATTCATTAACAGGATATCCATCCTTTATAAAGATAAGTATTTTTTAAAAAGATCATCAAAAGATAGAAAAATATACGTTCTTAAAAAATGATTTGAATTCTTTAAATAGATTTGAATTCTTTAAATAGATATGCATTTTTAAAAGTAGATATGAATTTTTCAACAGGGATATGAAATCTTCAGAAAGATGAGCTTTCTTCAAGAAGATCATCCTTAACGACAAATTATTTACGAACACAAAGGCTTATGCTATTTGACTATGGAAATTTTTGAGGAAGCTTTCTGATAGAAAATTTTTTCTTTAAGAATATGCCATTTTCAAAATGACTGTAAATCAATTTTAAAAAAAAGGCTTTCTTTAAAAATAAGCATTTTCAGAAGTATTTTCTCCGAGAAACTCCTAATTATAACACAAATCTCACAGTCCTTAATTTCAGTTTAATATTAGCGATAATAATTAATAATTTACATCTGATTACAATCTATTTAATTCAATATCAATGATTAATAAAGAAACAAATTCAAGCTATTTCATTATATCCAGTAATCATAGCGAAAAATAGGGTTTTTTTCAAGCGAAAAAACTAAAACGTAATCCCATGATATTATCTTATTAAGCTATATTTTAAGATAAACTTAGTTAAATCGCTATTAATCCTGCAAATCATTTCTCAATTATTTCTTTTGGAACAAATTACATTAATATACTATTATAAATTACTGTTAATTACATTAAATGATTAAGAACTTATCTATATAGTTCATGAATTTCGTGACCCCTGCACAAATTACATTTAATATAACAACATATTTGGTAAGTAAAAATATTAAAATACAGTTACAACCTAAATTAAAAGTTGTAAAACGTGGTTTTAAGTATACTTACCACGGCCTTCAAAAGGGTTGAAAAGAAACTATTTTATGCTATGAAACAGCAAATAATGAGAAGGGGGTTGGTGAGCGGCAGCAAACAGGAGGCCCCTAGTTGGTAGGGTATTAAAGAACAACGGCATTGAAGAATTACCTTTTTGAACAGCAATTCCATATCCTTTTGAATCCAAAGGTGTTCCGATTCTTGTGAGATTGCATATTCTTTCTGTTTTGTATTCGATGGAGGTAATCTCCATTAAATATGCATAGTTTCCTTGCGCAACTCTTTGAATACCCAATTCATTACTCTCCACATATACTTCTGGATGTTCTCTCATGTATCTGTTCATATGTTGATAGATTGGTAAGTCTGAGTTCTGAAAAGAAAAATATCATAACGAACATTTCTTCAGATTAAATATTGTTAGGTTATACTGCTTCTATATCGGTACCTGCGCGCGTCAAATGAGAATGTTAATTTGGCCTTAAGTCTGTGCCCGGTTGTTGTAGTAGAAACCAATTCACATAGTGGATTGCTCGGAGATGGTTGCAAACGAACGTAAGCGCTTCGAGTGAGCCATTTTTTTTCTTTATCACGTGCAACAAAACGTACCTTTCGTTTGTACGCGAAACAGAACTAGCACGTTTCCTTTCTCAGGTGGTTCTTGCTAACAAAATGGTGACCCTATTGTTGCAAGTACCAGTTCAGAAATATCCCCAATTATTTTCGAAAGAATTAAAAAACATTTCAGAATTATCCATATTTATATACCATTAAGCTGAGCAGCGAAACTCAAGACTTCCAACTTGCAGACTTGCAGAAAAAGTTTCACAAATAAAGCACTTTTTTATTAACAAGTAAAACAAATCATTGAAAACTTGCTAAAATAAGCAATATTTTAATGTTTATATTCATTCTAGTTAGTAATACTGTCTTAGAAATAGAAGTAAAACCATTTAAATAAAATAAAAATAGAAATTTTTTTAATGTTATTTTATGTATAAACTGTATTTTAATTATATTTAAAATTTTCAGCATGAATGAAAATTCTTATATATTAGTAATAGAATCCATATTTTGACCCCACGTACAGCTAGGAAACTCACTCTATATACACTGATAGTGTGAATTGCAATTATTCAAAAAATCTGCAAAAATAGCCTTTGATTTCATATTAACTACATAGGTTAATTAATTTTTAAAAAATTATTGAATTTTTTGGACGGAAATGCTCACTCTTTCACATTTATCACCTTTATTTTTCAATATGGTGTACAAGTTTATATAAATCACAAAGTATTCATTAAAAAGGTAAAGTGTATAAAGTTAGTTTCCAAATGCTTAAAAAACTTCGTGTCCGAAATTTTTGAACTAAACAGATGCGAAATTTGAATCGAAATTATATCAATACTATAACAATATTAAAACAATATTGTAATAAGATTATATTATAACAATAAGACAAGAATTAAATTGTAGCAATAATATAACAATTAAAATTGTGACAGTATTTAAACAATATTGTAAAAATATTATATCATAACAATATGATAAACAATTTAAATTTTTACAAAATTACAACAGTTAAATTTATAACAATTAAAGTTATAACAATATCATAACAATTCAAATTACAACAATATTATAACAATTAAGTTTATAACAATATTAAACAATTAAAATTATAGTAAAATGCCATTAATTAATAAGAATTGAATAAAAGTTTTTTTTTAATTGCATCNAAGTTAATTAATTTTAAAAAAAATATTAAATTTTTTGGACGGAAATGCTCACTCTTTCACATTTATCACCTTTATTTTTAAATATGGTGTACAATTTTATATAAATCACAAAGTATTGCTTAAAAGGTAAAGTGTATAAAGTTAGTTTCTAAATGCTTAAAAAACTTCGTGTCCGAATTTTTTGAACTAAACGGATGCGAAATTTGAATCGAAATTATATTAATACTATAACAATATTAAAACAATATTGTAATAAGAATATATTATAACAATAAGACAAGAATTAAATTGTAGCAATAATATAACAATTAAAATTGTGACAGTATTTAAACAATATTGTAAAAATATTATATCATAACAATATGATAAACAATTTAAATTTTTACAAAATTACAACAGTTAAATTTATAACAATTAAAGTTATAACAATATCATAACAATTCAAATTACAACAATATTATAACAATTAAGTTTATAACAATATTAAACAATTAAAATTATAGTAAAATGCCATTAATTAATAAGAATTGAATAAAAGTTTTTTTTTAAATGCATCTTGAGTTTAAAAATAACATTTTATATTGCTAATAAAAAAGAGCTCACAAATAATTACCTGAAAAAAATCTCTCGTTGATCCACTTTTTAAACAACCATATTTGATTTTATCTTGACTTGCAAGATCTTCAACATTGTTGATAGGTGACACTAACTTTTCTATTGTCAAGAAAGCTGCTAGATTTGCTGTGTAAGAGGATATCATGATGAGACAAAAGAATCCCCAAATACTTTTGATAGCTCGAGTAGACATCGCTCTAATGGTAAATATATAATAATAAGTTGAATATAAAATTTTGGTATACAGTTTATGTTGCACTTTAAAATCTACAGAATGACTCAAAATTATATTTTCAGTTTTAACGCAATAACACATTGCAGCATTTTAATTCAAAACGTATAAGGTTTTTTTGGGTTTTATTGATAACTCATAATATAAAATTTTACAATCCATGTCAAACATGGAGACAAAAAAGTTTGTACTTAAGGGGCCGAAAATTAATATTTAAGGGAAGAAAAAACTAAAAAAAAAAAGAAAGAAAAAACGTTTTCGAATTTTGAAGAATCACTATAGTGACGATGGGGGTTCGCGTTGGTTCAGGGGATAGGGAACTCGACTCCCAATGAGGTGACCCGTGTTCAAATAGTTAATACGAATTCCGCACCCTGCTCGCGCTGACCAACTTGATCACGTAAAATATTCACAGTAGTTCACGTATCATGGGTTGGAGTTCCTGTTTTCTGGCTAACCGTGGAAGGATCCCATTGTTTTCCTCTCCATGTAACACAGATGCGGGTTAGTTGTATCTAAAAGCCTCCACGTGGGCAAAATTTTGCCAATACTTGATCTAGGACTTCTTCTGGATTAGGTATCATGGATCGGATTCAAAACTGCAAGGTAACGGATTTGAATATTGGCAGTCGTAAATTCAAAATTGGGTCAGCCGCTTAACGACGGTTTGTAAAAAAAAATATAATGAAGATTGGTAGAAGGAAAATTATAACATGAACCAGTTGTGATTCGTTAGATGTCGATAGTTGCTTCGATATTTCTTAATTTTAAAAAAAATAGATACATTTTTTCATATTGTTTTTACTTTATTTGTTACAAAAATTCTATAAGGTTAGTTATTGTTATTTTTTAATTACGGACAATCATTACGGAACGATTTGTATACATATCTAACATTTTTCCCTGTTTTTGTCAGTCTCACGGTTTTAGCAAACCTTTAATTTCTTAACTCTTATCATTATCAATATTCTTTTAATTGAGAATGATTTTTTTTTCGAATTGGATTTTAATTTGATACTCTGCTACTTTATAAAATATCTATAAGCAACTATTATAAATTTATTATTAGTTAATACATTGAAGTCGTTAGCTTATTTAGATTGAATTCTTTACTATGAGCGCGAAGTTTTTAGAACAAATATTTGAATTTCTATATGGTCAATGACTTTGAAAATGAAACATTTACGAATTCTTACGTTGGAGCAATGTCTGAACCTTGTCTCATGAAAGCACCGATAGTTAGCCACATACTGTTGAGCAGACTGAAAACATTTTCTTCCACCATATCTGTGTCTCTGCACGGATGTGGATTGGACCATTCGTATGGACTGAGTCTTCCAATCAAGCAGCAGACTAGGCTGACAATAATGTAAACCACCATTACGAAAAGCCAAACTTCGCCAGAGAATGGTTGCAAAAACGAAAACATGGAATGGACCTTCTGTGTGGGCTTCTTGAAGAGAATTCCTATCCCAGTTTGCATAAAGGGATGGGTGAAATCAACTGCTTCCAAGCGGGTTGTAGTGATTGTCAAGTCGGCAACTGCCATATCCGCTTCCTTAACAGAAAAGTAAAGACAAGAATTTTTTGATGAAACTATTATTGTTAACAATGTTTGAAATTAATTGTGTCAAACAATCTGATAAAAACATTTATTTTTTTACAATTTTTATCTCTTAGGCAAAGTATTGTTTAAATTTTCTCATATGTGCTATCTTTTAAGATATTATAAGTATTATTGTGTATAAAAAAACGCTATACCATTTCTTTAAAATTTACTATAAGCTTTATAAGGCGATGAATGGAAATCTTTTATTTAACGCTTTTTACTTACCTATCTTGCTTTTATATTTAAGGGGCTAACTCTTGGAATCGAAAATTACATCCATTTTTTTATTAGGTAGAATGCCTAGATTGCAACTAGAGTTCAGAAGCTCATGACAATACAAGTTTCAATCGTTTTTCTGACAGCTATTAGCAAAACTTCATCACCTCTTAACCACAAAATAGAATTTATTGAAGATTGAGATTTTGATCAACTAGCTAGAAATATTAAAATTTCACTTACAGTTCTCAGTAGTTTTTTAACCATTGCAAACCAAATTTTTTTGCTAAACAGAATTTTCTGACATATTTTCGACCACTTTCAAGGTTCGAATTTCAACTTAACTTCTATACCTAATGACATTACAGCTTTCTATCAATTTCTAGCCACTGTGGGCAAAATTTAATTTCCATTTTGTCACTAAAAATTTTGACTATTTGTCGAATAACTAGAGTATTCAGGCATTAAGTGCAGTTTTACGTCTGTTTTAAATACTAATTTAAATTATTTAACTACCATAATCAGAACATACTACCTAATAAAGTACATTGTTAATCAAAGTTAATTCCATCACTACTCAATTTTTCCTTCACTAAGAAAGCTGTGTTGTTCTGGCTTCATTCCCTGGCAATAATCTCCTGTGCTACTGGACAACAAAAACTTTCCAGATTATCAGCAGAGTTACAATTTCGGGGCTCTTATGTTGAGAAATAACTGAAATATTTATGCAGCTTTTGCAATAACTCTTCCTAAATAACTGTGCTTTCCTTCACATTCGTGAGCCGTGGATACCCATTGTTAAGTGGGCCTTGTATGTTATCATAATTTCATTTCTATTTTATTTAATACAACTCTATTTCAATCTTATTTAATACTTATTTAATCCAACTCTATTTCAATCTTATTTAATACTTATTTAATACAACTCCTTTCGTTTACTGGAATTGCTCTGAAAAATAGAAAGCAAAGCAATCCAGCATCCGCGCGATGTAGACCAAGGGGGTTGTGGAGGTTAAGGTTCCACATCATTGCGGGAAACGGCATGATTGGGGCAATATGTGGCTTACTCCCCAGACTAGCTGGTACTCATCAATCTGAAGCTGGTAGGGATTCAATCCGCTACTGGATCTCAAACCACAGTTCTTCACAATGGCAGTTCAGGTGAAGAGTATAGATTTTATTATTTCATATGTAAAGAGTACAAAAATTTTTAAAAAAGAATGCTGGACAGACAATGAAAGAAAGAAAGAAGAAGCACTTACTCCTCTTATTAGTTCACCGATCATACCACTCCAGTGTCCGGTTTCATTCTTTCTTCCATATTGCTCGTCCCTAACAACATTTATGTCATACGTAAAATGAAGTGTTTCTGCCAGAGCATTTAACAAATCTATGCCGTAGCCTTCAAATCGAGCATTACCAACCATCTGTTTTGAAGATTCTGCATACATTGCATAAGGATCTGTCTAGAAGAATAATTGTTTTTCAATAAATAAATTGTTATATAGTTCAGAATATTTATTGAGATAAGTTCAACTTCAATAAATAAACTGTTATATAGCTTGAATATTTATCGAAACATTCTTAACGTTAATAAATAAACCGTTATATGACACTGAATATTTATTAAGACAAGTTCAACTTCAATAAATAAACTGTTATATAACCCTGAATATTTATTGAGAGAAGTTCAGCTTCAATAAATAAACTGTTATATAGCTTGAATATTTATTGAAACATCTTCAACTTCAACAAATAAGCCGTTATACAGATCTGAATATTTATTAAGACAACTCCAACTCAGTTTTAGGATAATATTCTCAAGCATTATCGATTTAATTTTTATTGTAACGGTCATAGTTTCAATAATTTTTGAATGTGATAAACTTCTGTAATTGTACAATTATTGATATAACAACGTCAAATATTACTCTATATAACACACAATATAATATCATAATGATTTTACTTGCATTAAATAATTTATTTATTTTTATTTACATTGATTGATTCCTGTGATTGATTGATTTCTACAAAAATATTTTGCAGTCCGCAGTTGATTCATCAAAATATAGTTAAAATAAAGAAATATGTTCACCAATATTGTTGTTACTCTAAAATGAGAATGCTCTAAAGACGTTCCTTCTGGGGTTGTCACGTTAGGCTCCTGATCTGGAAATATAGTTCCTATCTAAAAATAAAGGTATGTAAATTACGTATATTACTTTCAGGACTTTGCAAATATTATTGCGTTTGAAAAATATTTCATTCGTTTTAAGAAATGTATGCATAATTTTATCATGTGTATTAAAATTGGAGAAGTTTTTACCATTTGTTTGAAGTTTTTACCATCTACCAGGCGTGTTCAAGGAAAATCATGTTGTTGTTGTGCTGTTTCTAATACGACTTGCCAATGTCAACAAGCCTGCTGGGCGAAACCAAGCGAATTTAAGGCAAATGGTGAGTTTCTTGTTTTTCAGTGGAGCCATTTATGGCCAAGAATACGACTTCAGTCCCACACGCTTCACAACCCATTTACAGGGAGGACCCATTCATACATTCACAGATCGTTACTTTGACCTGAACCAGGAGAACGATCGATCTCTAATTCCCAGAGGTAATATCTGTCATGGGAACATGGAAGACTTTGCGACCCGACATATTTAACGTGCACCAGTCACCATTTACTACACGGGGAGTCTTCGGCAGAGATCGAACCACGGCCTCTTGGACATGAGCCCAACACCCTACCAATCAGGCTACCCTGGCCTTCCGGAATATTATACTACTCATAAAATAATCTCCTTACAAATGAAATGTGAAAACCTTTATGGAAATAAACAATGGTATTAAACTCGTACTATTTGCCTGCTATATGAAACTTCAATTTTTTCTTCTTTTTATTGATTAAATTCAAGCTAATCGTCACACAAGATACTTAATGTACTATCAATTAATGAGTGACTTGGCAAACAATACGAATAAACTTAAATTTGGTAAAGCCCATGTACTAAAATATGCATAAAGTATTCCTTTTAATATTTGAATAAGGAAAAAAAATTTCCGAAAAACATTTCTTACCTTACTTAATCCATCTTGTTTCAAATGCATGACATCAAAAGTTACATACGATCGAAATCCTTCTGAATTAAATGCAATTAGACCACTCAGTCCCTGCGCTTTGCCCTGAAAATGAAAAATGTAAAGTTAGTATAAAAAATATGATTAAGGCATTACTACTTACTCACCTTATTTTGGGACTGTTCTAAAAATGCATCATAAACACACACGAGCAATTATTTTCTCCACTTAAATTTAATAACTTGCTTTCAAGTACTTTTTATCTGAACATTTTGCGCATTGTTTTTTTTTAAACATCAAAGAGATAAAAAATTTAAGTTTGTTTGATTTTTATTAATTTTTATGTATTTAGCAAATATTTGAAAACATTCTAAAAACTACACCATGATTTACATTTCTATTTTTTATAGATTTATAGACTTAATCCAAGCAAAGTAAAAGTTTCATTTTGTAATTAGTTAGTTAATTTTTATATTGATGTACAAAATATTAAGTAATTAATTTATAAAGTCTCATATTAATTTACAAAATTTCTTTAGACTAAAAAATCGTAAAGGCAGCTGCCAACTCTGCCACTGTCTCGGGATTAAATGTCAGATATACAGTGAACTTTAGACGCTAGTTTATTCAATTATGTCTTAAAATATTACTTCCAGAAAAGAAAAAAAACTTACATCTTTCATATAGTTATATATTGTTGTTCCGTCTGTTCCTTTATTCATTAGGCTGCATGATATAGGAGGAAAGACAGCAATATTCTTTGCATTATCCATTTGATCCAAGGCTATAGCGAGTTGCTTCACGCTGTCATACATCAACACTGTCTCTGTCTGAAAAAAAAGAGTGGATGTCGAAGCTTATAAAAGTTTCATAGTCTTTTTGTATAGAGAAAGCAATTTTGAAGTATATTTTGCATAAAATATAAATGAAAATTAGCAAATCAAAAATATATCCTGTTGCTATATTTGTGATTCACTTTAGCTTTGCACTTTATAGTTCTATTTCATTGTCTAAAAGTAGAATTTATAAAATTTGTAGTTGTTGAAATCCTTATTTCAAATACTTTTAATCTCGTTTCATGACTTTTGGTCTGTTTTTTAGGAAATAAAGACTAATATATATAAAAAATGTATATACTTAGTATACAACTAAATCTACTGCTATGGCTTAAGAGTTATACACTGAAAACCACTGTGGTGTAATGATTAAAAAAAAATTGCTGATGAAATAATTGTGTGAATGAATGCTTTATTTCAAGCTAATAATAACAGTGGGGTTAAATTTAAGCATCAATAATTGAGAACGCTTACACCAAGCTCCCATCCATTTACTTCATTCATATCATTTTCGCTGATTTTGGCTTCTGTTTGAAGACCGGCGGATTATAACCTTAAAATGTTTACAATCAAGCACGCAAAGGTGGAAGTTAGCTATCTCAGTTAAACAGAAGATTTGTATGATTTTAATGGTGCAAAGATGTATTCTTTATGCTTTTTGTGTAAGTATGTCTTGTAAAAGCATTTGTGCTTTTAATTGTGTAATAAGGATAATTATGTTCCTATGAAATGATTTACTCAAAATCTGTCAATTGTTTTATCGTAGTACTGCCATATTTGATTTCTTGCGTCATTAAACTGTACATTCAGTCTAACCCGTTTTGATAACGATGAAATTATGATTATTGGTGAATAATTTTTATAAAAAACAACACAACAGCTGTCGTGCTTTCCTTAATTACAGGAGCGAAATAAACACATATTGAAAAAGTTAAAACTTTTAATATGTTTCAATGTTTAACAAAATCAAAAAGTTTTTTCACAGCTTATTACAAAGACTATTTTAAAAGTAAACAGTATAAACGTCGATAGTTTTTTTTCTTATTAATACTACAAATTTAAAATTGCATTTTTAATTTATCATAAATACATTAAATCATATGCTCTTACTGAACTTAATGTGTAACCTTGAGAGTTTTTAATGGCTCTTTGTCTCTAACAAGAAGTAATCGAAGGTTTAGTTCATTCAGAAGAGATTGGAATTCCTGGGATTCCTCCTGAACCAATCGCAAGCTTGTGATGTTAGTCATACCATACTGAAAATCACTCAAATCAATTGTATGCAAATCCTTAAAAAATACAAGAAAAGTTAATAATATTAGAACAAGATATAAGCATTACTTACATGAGATGTGAGCAACTATAAAGTTTTTATTGGAAAGAACATTCATGTCAGAACTTTTACTTCCGTTGCTTGTAAAAAAAGTAAAAGTAAAATGTACGTAATTTTACTTGTACTTGATTATTTTTTATTTGTTTTTCCGTTACTTTTCTGGGAAAAAGTACAAATGTTTGTAACAAATATGTAAAGTCAAAGAAATCGTAACTTTTTTCTGCATTTTTTTTAAAAACCATTTCTGGAAAAAATATTTTTTCCCGAAATTTTTGATTTTAAATTTTGAATTTTCGATTTCCTTGAAATGTACTTTAAAATCGTCCTATTTTTGTCTTGTTCTTGCACTTGTACGTTTTACTCGTTACTTTTTATAATCAAAGCTTTTTACTATTTGCTCGTCACTTTTGCCTAAAGTACTTGTACTTTTACTCATTACTTTTTCAAAACGTTCCTATCTATTCCAAAAAGAAAGGCATAAATTAAAGTTCATGGTTTAAAACATAGTATGGGGTGAACATTTACAGTAACTGTGGCCCATGGATCAATATATGACCTCGCTAAGCTTCATTTCATTTAAAATAGAAATTAAGAAACCAGTTGAAAGATGTGCGTTTGTGGCTACATGGTTAAGACATCTGACGCACGTCTAGGAGTGAGTCGGTTCATTGCGAATTATGATGAAATTTTGTTTCTTATTTCTTAATACTGAAATATTTTTTGAAGTATATATGTTTAAAAAAAATTTTATTTTATTGTGAAATTTCCAGTTTTCTTTAACTGAAATCTTTTTTTTAATTTTATTTTATGAATTCGAAAACATGATTTTTTAAAAACAAATCTTTGTTATAATTTTTTCTAGCCTGAAAAATGTTCAAGAACAATAACAAGAGCTTTTTCTTTTAAAAAATACTTATTTTAATTTTGTTAAGTGAAATACAAGAAAATTAACGAAAAATATTTATAAATTTTACTATCTCAACGGAATTTTTATTTTATTTAGGAGTATAAATAAGTAAAATGGAAATTCTCATCAAAGCAAAATTTGAAATGGAAATTTTAAGTGGAAATTTTTATTAAAGGGAAACTTTCTTCCAGCTATCCACCATGGCCCTGCATTGTCCTCCATACTTCTTCTCGTAATAGAAGATGATAGCCATGGGGAATAAGTTTGAACTATATGGTGAATGTGTGATGATGTTCCATTAAAATTACTGCAAAGGAGGAACAGTATGGAGATTGATGAAATAAAAAATGAAGCTTAGTGACAGCTACAGGGAGATAATATGATAAGCGCATACAGAAACTGACATAACGTCAACAAAAATATTTAGACTGAAATGGAAATTAAGTAGGAAAAAAATTACTTCCCTCAAAATATATATTTATACTTTTGAAAAATAAACAGATTTTGGTATTTCAGAAAAAAACAGTACTTTTGGTATTGTTCTCGTATTAAGTTTATGGTTACATTTTAAACTCGAAATAGTGTTCAATGCTCTTAATTTTAAAAGGAAAATATCGTACGTGATTATTATTATTAATGTGTATCATGCCTTAAATTATTGATCTCTATAAAATTTCATACATTTAACCTTCATTTTCTCTATAATTTAAATAAAATTTAGCATTCACTTGCGTTGCTTTTCTTACCAGGAATGCAATAATGTAATTTTGATATTCAGTCATCATGCCAACTTGTTGAGCCTGTAACAAATTATTGTGGTATTAATAATTATTGAATAAGAACAACGAATTGGTAATGCATTACAGAAGAAAGTAAACATGATTTTATTTTAGTTTTAAATGACAATCTTTTTCCTTATATCAAGAATTTTGAAATATTAAGAAAATATTGTAAGAAAAATACGCAATCATATTTTATTAAAAAAAATTCTTATGTAAAGATAAACATTATTAAATTGGCATTTATTATTTTTTTCTATAGTTTACACAAAGTCTCACAAAAGTTCACTGTACAAATATAAACAAAGATAGGTAGGTGAGTACTTTATTTACGTCACACTAGAGCTTGACAATGGGCTGTTGGCGACGGTCTGAGAAATATCCCTGAGAATGATCTGAAGACACACCATCGCAATTTTGCACCTCTGCAGAGGGGATGGCTCCCCTGCTTTGATAGACCTGCACGCGAAGTTGAGCACTTTACGGTAGAACAGTTTAACGAGGACCGATACCTTCGGTCCTCACGCAAGCTGATCAAAGTGGTATCCTTTCTACTTACAGACAGCAGTCAGTGATGCTTAACTTCGGTGTTCTACTGGGAACCGTTTCTTTACAATCAGTAAACTATATGATTATATATGACAAAGAAAGGACACGAATTGGGAACTGTAGCTAGCCATGAAACTTGTTATATTAATAATGAGCTTTAAAGATGTATTTAAAGCAGTACCTTTCTTAGTAATCCATTTTAATTTGCTAAAAGTATTAATTTAAATATAATTTTATTTTATTTACTATCTTTTTTAAATTATAAACTGTAACTTTTTTATTTGAATTACATTATTTTTTTTGTATTACAGATTTTTTTTCTTACATATAAAATTAATTGAAGCATAAATTATTTTATTTCATTTATTATATTTTTCTAGTTAAACATTAAAATTACATTAAAAATAAAATCTTTCAATGAAATAATAGAAGAGGCTTATTTAATTGAGTAAAATTGAGAAGCTCTACTGAAGGCTGTATATAAAAATAAAAAACAACCACTAATTGTCAATTTTTTGCCGATTTTTAATAAAATGATTAAATATGACTGTAAAGCTTTTAAATTTTTAAGAAATTAAGAAATATTTTTGATTATTAATGAAATATTTTTTTATCAGATCAACTTCAAAAACGTTTCAAAAATGAATAATTTTTTTTTAAAAATATTTTTCTTGACAGTTATATTTTAGATTATTGCTCAGGAAATAAAATATATAGTATACCTATTTAATTAATAACAGAGTAAATTTTTTAGTTATTATAAGTTTTAATGATACATATTATTATTTTACTGAATGATTAAATTACTGTAAATTAAATATCAAGAGACATCAAATAATTTTAAGAATACAACTATCAAGAAAAATTTTTATTTAAATTTATTTTATTTTATCTATTTGCAAATTAAAAAAATGTATTCGGAAAGTAAAGAATGAAAAGAAAAAAAAACGTCCATTGTACTATTCAAACCCGAGTTCCCCGCCGTTAACCAAGTTTACTATTACTAGGCCACTGCTCCATTGTCGAAGATTTAACTAGAATATATAAAGTATTCATAAACTTTTATTTGCGTTTTTCACGAATTTGGCTGGTTAGTGCTAAATCATAAAACCAAGCCGGCCAAGGAAAAGATAGGAGAACGACGTTATAGGCGACTGGGTGGAGGGAGAAGAAAGATAAAGAGCTGCATGGAATAGAGTTGTGGAACAAACCAGGATCCACAAAAGGCTGTAGAGCTATGGAAGAAGAAAGAGAAGAAGTGCTCTTTATTAATTTGAGAAGGGAATAAGGTATATTACTAATACAGCAAATTTAATACCAAATTGAATTTCTCATATCATACCTTCTCCACAAGTAAATAAGAGCACCATATATAGTCTTAATATTTTTCTCTATTACTGTATTTTCAAGGACTGTTTTATTCTGTATTTAAAATCTAATTTCGCTTGTACGAAAAATTATATTTATATCCTATTATCCTAAACAAATTTAAATATTATTTTTACAATGCAGTCTGATTTATTTTCGTACATATTTTATATTTTATTAAAATTAATAAAGTTTTTAGATTTATTTACTTATCTCATGTGAATAAATGTGACAATCAGCGGAGTTATACTTTTCCTTTAATCCATATGTTAGCAAAGCATCATTCATAATATAATGCTAGAAAGCAATTAAATTCCAACTGTCTGGCAAAGTGACCTTGAAATTCATTTCTGGACTGGCCAAATGACGCTTAAGATATATTTCTATAAAGTTTAATAAAGGAATTAAAAAATTGTTCTGAAAAAAATTTATGATCTGTATCTTAGACCGAAAATTATATTAACGGTTTTTCAATTATTTATTTATTCCAATCAAAGAAAATGAAAAATTATGCTGATTTTCACCTACTGCTTTAAGAACTTTCCATAGTTTATCTCCTGGGACATCTAAAACTATCCTATAGTCAGGCATTCCTTGTTTTGTTCGAGATTTTTGGAACTCCATTATTTCCTGGAATTTCTCTCGGTATAGTGATTCACTAAATTGAAATATATGGATATCCCAATTTTCTTTTTCTCCTTCTTCTAATATTTCCTTCATTCTGACGATAGCTGAAAAAATTTAAAATAGTTAAATTTCAAAATAATAAAGACATTTCTTTAAAAATAGTAATTAAAAATAAAATAATAATTATAATTAACGATGTAACAATTATATTAAATATAATTATAATTTCGGGGTAAAAAAGCTAATGAAAAAGTGAGTTTCTCAAATTATTTTTTTAAAACTAAAAAAAAAAATAATAATCCTAGTAAAAAATTAGAAGATTTCATTTTGAAGAAAAAAAATCAGAAAATTAAGATGGAACTAAAAATTAAAATTTTTGGACGTTTCGTGTGAACGAAATATGCTTTACACTACAGATATATCAAAAAAATCACACAAAAAACGTATCTGAAATACACCTTAAAAAATTCCTTATAAAAAGTCTAATTAAAATATTCATGTTGAATACTGCAGTTTTTATTCCTATGGTATACTCGCAATCCGATATCCAGACATATACAGCCACACACACATTCTTTGTTTTATCATATGTATAGATAACTTAATGATTTTCATGACATCATATAAATACTTTAGTGTGAAACTGCATTTTTAACAAATTAGTAATTAATTTTTAGATTATTTTAACCAATAACACTCGAGAATATGAGGATAAATGTGTGTTAACCTACTTTGAAATGAATGAGCACTAAATAATTTATCATCTATTACTTAAAAAAATTACGAAACAACTAATCACCTAATAAAGTTACATATTTCATTCTTACCTGTGTCATCTTCATAGAGTAGGAAAAAGTCATGCCAGTCTAATATGTGAATTAGTCTTAAAACACAGTTACAGATAAAGTCTATACGCAGTTACAGATAAATAGTGAATGGAGCAAAAGAATCAACATTTAGCTTTACTATCTTCTGATTGAAAAAATTACGAAATAACTAATCACCTAATTAAGTTACATATTTCATTCTTACCTGTGTATCTTCATAGAGTAAGAAAAAGTCATGCCAGTCTAATATGGAAATTAGTCTTATAACACAGTTACAGATAAAGTCTATACGCAGTTACAGATAAATAGTGAATGGAGCAAAAGAATCAACATTTAGCTTTACTATCTTCTGATTAAAAAAAATTACGAAATAACTAATCACCTTGTAAAGTTACATATTTCATTTATACCTGTGTCATCTTCATAGAGTAAGAAAAAGTCATGCCAGTCTAATATGTGGATTAGTCTGATAAATGCCCTGCTGATGACAGTTGGATGAGGGTATAAGTTGATGGACAGCTGGTCTCTCCTGAACCGATATTCCCATCGGGCTTCGATGTGAGGTATTTCAAAATCATCACAGATTGATTGAATATGCATACTGGTCAAATCAGACTGAGGACCAAATAAAGCAGCAATTCCTTTATGCAGTAGCGAACAACCTAAATCAACATTTTATAACTGTCAATTTATTGAACAATTGAAGGGATTGATAGAAATTAGACATTAAATGATTGATTTTTTTAGTCTGTTGATGGACTGAACTCCTTTTTATACTTTCCATTGAATTTCACAGTTTAATGATTGATTGAGTTTTTTTATTGATCGAATATGAGAACCAATAGCTAATCCGGGCAAGGTTGAGCTTTTCATCCCTTCAGTGGGTATGAATGAGTATCAAGCATGCTTGGGAACTAAACACTGGGGGTTCCGCGTTCGGCTGACCATCTAACCTGAGCATCATGCACAACTGAGCCCAAGGTCAAGAAAGCTGAGATGGGCACAGTAGGCCTTGGCCCTCCACGGGCTGTCGTGCCACTGAGTTTAGTTTAGCTTTAATCCGTGCATAATAGAATAATAATCATACAAAGCGACAAAAAATAGAATAATAATCATATCATATCATATAGCGGGTTTCCTTTGTGCAGGTAGCAAAAGAACGTAGAAACAAAGTATACCTAATGAGTCATAGACGAATTTTTCTGTTATATCAGAAAGTAACATCATCATTGTCAAGACGCAGAATGATAGCTGCAGTGTTTCAGAGCTGATGATGAATCCTACTTGTAGTACCGAAACAGTCGTCCCTTTGTTGTCCATATTAAATTTATTTTTAGTATTGGTATATGCAAACATTGTCAAAACACAATAAATCATGTTCATAAAATCGAAACGAAGGTCGTGATCATCACACTAAGGGTCTAATTTATTACAAATAAAAGAAAAACAGAATTAAAAAATAAGACCTTTTAAGCATCTTCAGATGTTTAAGTGGGACCAATAAGTCAGCATTTTCAGTTGTTTCATGAAACATTATGTACTACTAATATTTGCAATTATTTACAGCTTAGTGTTTGCTTATTTTCCTGAAATAGCGAGAAATTAAATAAGAAGAGATGAATGATAGACGAAAGTAAGTGATTCTATAAATCGGCAAATCAAAACCTAGATTTCAGTAAAAAGTTCTGGGACTTAGGGTGCCGACACTTTTTACCATAAAGTATATTTTTAAAGTATAGTAAAAAAATCTGATATATCGTAATTTTTACAGTAATAGTTACCGTAAAATCACTGAATCACTCTTATTAAATAAATATTACTACTAAAATTACAGTTTAATATTTTACGGTCAAAATGGATTTTACGAATGATGAATCCAAAGGACCGACATTTTATACCGTAATTTGATTTGGATTACAGTGCATGATGAATAAGTGAATTTACGCATAACTAACATATGAACAAATCAGTGAATTGAAGCATGAATAAATCAGTCAAATATTGAACATATGCATTTGTGAATATCTGAATTACTGAATAGGAAAAAAATCATCAATGAATCAGGTTACAAGTTCATGAGCTTACAATTAATGGTAAAGCAATCAATGATATTCGTATTTCTTTTTTATTTCGATTACAATGCACCACAAAAATTTGACAAAACGTAGAAATTTTTTAAACTGGATGGCATTTCAATGAAAACGGAGAAAAGAACGAACCACCCGCACAGCATATGCATTTATTGAAGGTGACAGTTGAGTTAAAAGCTAATTTTAAAACAACACAACTTTTTTTTTCTCCTTCAGACATTAAGAACTTTTCTTTTTTAACATTTTCTACTTAGCAAAAAACACTAATCTTAGTAGTTGATCACTTTAAATATACTGTGAAGAAATGCTTCAAAGTGACATAACTTATTTAAATTCTGTTTTGTTAAATGAGGGAGGAACATTTACATTTAAATATACATTTCTAAGGAACTATTAGACCGATTTAATTCAAATTTTATATTTTGACTTATGAAATTACATTCGTTAAAATGATGTAAAAATTTGTTTAGCTTGCATTTCAAATTTTCTTTCGCACATTATGAAATTAAATAAGGAAAAATAAATAAAAATTTTAATTATTTTAATTAGAATGTTAGCAATTTTTTGCATGGAATCTTTCTTTAAGTAAACGAATTTTATAATTATAGCCAAAAATTATTTTGATTTGCTCATTCCTCCCCTTAATACTACCATCCTGAATATTCTCATGATATGGCGAAATGGACAATGAAAGAGAATTTACATTAAGGGAGCCAAACTTTGCATCGCTCTCTTGACCAAATTATTTATACAATATTTTCAAGGTTGCAGCTGCCCCCATATTTTGAGGGTCAGAAATCCAAATCCGCCGAAGAAAAGATATGTTTATTTAGAGAAAATACGTTTTTGTGCCTGGTGTCGTAATTTATCAGAACAATCATTATAAATATTTTATTTTAAATCTGTTAAAGGTGCCTCAATATTTCGCAAGCATTCACGAAATATCTGATATTTTTCGTGAATATCAGATTTTACGAAAGCTGAGCTTTAAAATATATTACAATTGCTATTATTAAAAGAGATAATTATTCATATGTACTACTATACACTTTCAAAAATTTCCCTGCCACTCTAAAGTTGCTTACGTTTAAGTATTTCAACCAGTATTTTTGGTCAATACGGAATGATTATAATCAAGATGTTTCATAATCACTCCCCTTAATATTTATTTTTAGACTTCTTGTCAAAATGAAAGAAACAATTATACATAATTGACAGGAAATTGATTCATAAATTTTTAAAAAATACTATCAAAATCCGATGAATCTTTATAAGAATCAATAACAGTGAAAGGGGATAACTAGTTTTAAAACTAGTTTAATTGTTGAAATAACTTAAAGCAGACATAATTAATGAAATTAGAGGCCTTTCAGTCCTATCCTACAAATAAACTGTTTTTGGATACTTTGATATTTCCTCAAATAATAATTTAAAGACATTAATATATTTTTTTATTTCATTTTAACAAGGAATATGAAAATATACAGGGTGTTTAAAAAGTATGGAAATGGTAAAATAGCTCAATCATTCAGTTCAAAACTCTAGATGGGTCGGGGGTTAATTTCGATATCTTTAATTAGGCTTGTCTAAATACCACACACTTCTATTCTTACTTTTTTGACCTGATGGTAAATATTTGAGACATCATCATTTTAAACAATTTTTTTCTTAGTCCTCTTTTAAGATTTCATCGTCACCCGTGCCCCAAAGTGAAGAATGTTGACCCAAATTTGTTGACCGAAATACGGTGCATTTTTTTCAGCAGAATTCAAATTTTCAATTAAAGGGTTTCTGTTTATGATTTTATAGTTAGTTAAAGCAAGTTAATTAAAAAAGTTTATCTAAAAACGGTTCTTACTTAAGGTTTTAAAGTTAGAAATTATTAAATATTTTAATTAAAAGAGGGTTCCTAATTGAAGTTATCTCTCAAATCACTTTAGAGGGTCCAAAGTTCGAGTTTGTTATCATCGAATACATACCGAGAAGAAATACGGTAGAAACGACTAAAAGAATGTAAAATTTACCATGTTTCTGGTTCTATTTAAAGATCGAAACTTTTGGTAATTTTAACCGAAACGCTTAGGCAATGATTTTGGTAATATTAGCAATAAAATACAGGTTTTAATAATGCGTGATAAATGTTGAAACTTTATCATGATGCCTTAAAACATAGCATAGAAATCATTTATTCGGTTAAATTTACTTTCCAGTTTTGTATATTTTACTAAATGTATAGTAAAAAGAACCATGATTTTGAAAATCGGAATTTCCGGTAAACCATTATCATATAAACGAATAATTACCTTAATAAATGGTTTAAATACCATATATTTTGATTTTATTAACTAGAATTATTTTTTTCTGCCAAAAATATTATTATTATACAGTACGGTAATTTTACCAGAAATGTTTTAAAATATTAAAATAAAGCCTTTTTTTATAATTCTCATGAGTGTTCTAATGAATTTTTGATCTAATGAGTAATTTAACCATTTCCATGATTTTCAGATCTCCTATAAACATAAATGCAAGATACAATGTAGATTCATGAAAAGTTATTAAAGTCTTATTTTACTTGTTTTAGACGTTAGTACACTGTTATCGGAATGTAATTTTTCCACCAGAGCCACCATTCTGGAATTAGGAAGCAAATTTTCATCTGTGTTTACTCTATCTACTGCAATTCTAAATGCTAGTTCAATTTCGTCCTCATCCTTTTCAAATAAGCCGCCTAAAAACAAATAATACAATTATTAAAGTGAATAAATAGAAGCGAATTAAAATTTGAAAGAAAATTATATTGTCTAAATGTGTAACAATTATTGAAAATGTCTCAATTTGATTAAATAAATTCTAGTGGCGTTTAACAAAAATTAAAAGAGTTAAAAAGTCAGAAGAACAGTATTTTTAATTTATTTGGATATTTGGTTTCAATAACTCAACTCTAAAAATTATGATTTTAAAAATTTATTTATACAATGCAAGACTTACATAATTGACCTTAGTACTTTCTCAAGTTTTCTTTTTTTGCTGAAATCATTAATTCACTATTCTTTTTAACCTATTTGGGGGATTAAATGGATGAAATCGATTTAATGGGATTTATTTTCGTTTTACAGAATCAATCAATTTAATAGAATTCATCATTAGATTCGAAAATGAATTTTGCTTGCTGCGGTCAAAAAAATACTAAAACTTTTATTGTCATCAAGCTATAATTAGCAATTGAAAATTCATCACAATTAGCTACTCAGAAATTGACTCATTCTGATTGGTGCAGAATTTTATGCGTTTGTGATGGATTTCTGATTTTATGCACTTGTGAAACGCGAAATGCTTAACTATCATCACCTGTTTTTGTTTTATCGAGTTAAAATACTTTTGTAATTTGTATTTTTTTAAATTACATCTTATAAATGCAATCAAAGAATTATTGTCACTGAAGCATTTGTGAAAAACAAAGAATGATCATGGCATGCCTGGTCAAAAAAGGCGGCACAAAATATCATTGAAAATAAACCCACTCTTGCAAAATATAGTAAGAATTAACCTCTCTCTGACACAATTCCATGGGATATGCTGTCACGTGGACATTGTTAACATTGGGATAAAATCTCGGTTTAACAAAATATCCTATGATGGAACATAAACTCATATGGACAAAATAAGTAAGTACAAAATTCCACTCTTACTAAATGTCGTGCGATGAAACTCCCTCTGATAAAATATCGTAAAATGAAACTTACTCTAACAGAATATCGAGAGATTGAAATCGTTCGGATGTGATATCGCGTAAACAAAATACGGTGAAATTAAATTTCATTTTATCAACTTTATCTTGAAATAAAATTCATTCTAACAAAATACTTTATGATTTCCTGTGCTTTGACTAATACAAAATATTTTATGATAGAATTCACTCGAAAACATCGTAAAATAGAATTTTCTGTGATTTGAGTAAAGCAAACAAAATACTTTATGATAGAACTCACTCGAAAACATCGTAAAATAGAATTTTCTGTGATTTGAGTAAAACAAACAAAATACTTTATGATAGAACTCACTCAAAAACATCGCAAAATAGAATTTTGTTAGATTTGAGTAAAGCAAACGAAATACTTTATGATAGAATTCACTCAAAAACATCGTAAAATAGAATTTTCTGCGCTTTGACTAAAGCACATTCTACTTACCAAATTTTGACGTAACAACTCTATATAAACCAGAATACATAAATAATCCAGCTTCTGTTATTAAGGCCTATACTGTATTTTTAATTTGACACATATCTTATAATTAAATATGAGTTTTAGTATTTTTTTACGTATTAAAACAACGAGTAGTTACTTCATATGAATAAGAATCTGTTCATATGGCACTTCTGTTTTTTTATGCCCAAAATGCCTTTCCACTCATTTTTCCTGGATGTACCCCAAATTCAACGAAACCGTACCCACCGTTCTGTCCGTATTTTCTTTCTTGTCGCTATGAATAGAACAACGATAAGCAACGAGATAAATGGAGTTTAGTCTGTTCTGTAAATTATGTTATTTCCTAAACAACACCCTTTTTTACACGTTTTAAACTAAACAACTTTTTGGCAGACAGAAGTGGTAATTTTAAGGCTGTTCGCCTGTTGAAAGGTGTCAAGGCTAGAATATAAACAGGAAGAAAAAAAAACACTTCCAATAATGTGTAATAAATTCCAAGAAAGTTTGCGTGTTTTTAAGGTAAACGTAATAGAGAATTCGAGGAATAACAGAAATTTATATGCGTTTTCGCTGTCCCCCATTTTTCTTATAAAATATTTCGTTTTGTTGATAATTTTAGGTCTCGTAAATTTCTCAAACTTTTTACAATTGGTTGAAGAAGTGGTTTTGTTTTGTAACAAAATGGACATTATAATATGAAATTATTTTTAAAGTCAAATTATAATTCCTGGTCAAGGTATGGAATAGCATTTTTTTTCTTAAGTTTTATCATTATTTTATCTTTTATCATTGATCCTGATTTCCATAATGAGATAAGCAAAAGTTTATACGATTATGAGAGAAATAATAGACTGAGAAGTTAAGGTAAAAGTTGGGTACTTTACTCCTTAACCTAACCATTGAAAGGAACCTAAACATTAATTATTGGAAAATGCTTTAATTAAATTACCTATTTTTCCAATTTTCATGAAATTTTGCTTTTTTAAATATTATTGTTGCAAAAGTGGATAAGACTCAGTTTAGATAATTAATAATTACTAGTAAATTATTATTAGTATTTAAAGAAAACTAAGCAAACCCGGGGGGGGGGAGAAATTACAAATATACTGGTTTAAAATCAAATACTATACATATTCGCAGCTTTTGTTTGCACATTTTATTGATTTGTACTGACTCATTACTTATATCCGATAAGAAAACTTGATAATGGTAAAAAAAAAGTAAATTTAAAACGTTATTTTATTATTCGCAAGCTACTTATGCATTAGACAATAATTTCAAGGTTTTTTATTGAAAAAAATAATAAATAATAAGGACTATACATTATTATCTTTAGTTCAAATCTTTTAACCGGTTATTAAGAATTGAGAAATATTGATTGTTGTATTCAAATTTTATAACTTAATTTCTCCGTAACATTTGCAAAAATAACATAAATGATAACAGAGCATACAGAATAGTGTACTTTATATTTTTGTGATCTCAATGTAAACTGCAATTTTATTCTAAAAATATCATGGACAACAAACTGTGTCTAATATGGGCATAAGTAGAATCTTATTTTATTGTACATTTTATAACCGTCGTTGAACCACAGACTCAATTTTGAGCGACAATTACCAAAGTTCAACTCCGTAGCCTTGTAAGTTTAAATGCGATCCAGAAGACAAGGGAACACCTGAATTAAGTATTGGAGAAACTTTTTTGCCTTCGTGGTGGACTTTTTAATGAAACTAACCAGTATTTGCGTTACATGGAGAGGAAAACAACGAAAACTTTTCACAGTTAGCCCAATACACAGTTAGCCGAACTTTAGCCTATGATCAGTCAAGCACTGATGATATTTTACTTCAGCAGTGTTGCCGGTGTAAGCCGAGGGCGGAGCCAGCCTTTGCTGCGATTCGAACACGGGTCACCTCATTAGGAGCTCTCTATCCCCTGAGCCTTGAGCCACCAGGGCTCTTATAAGTAGAATTTTGTCTAAAACAGGAAATTTTAAAATTCTAGCAATTTTTTCTGTACATTAGATTAATTTAATTTCTATGATCAGTCAGTTGTCTAGAGCGGAAACAAAATATTTAGGAAAACGGGAAAAAATGCGAAGTTTATCTGTGGTAGGTTTCCCAAATTCGAGCGATAAATCCTTTTTTTTTTTTTTTTTTACAAGAGTGTTTATTATTATTTTTTTGGAACATTAATAGAGAAATTTATGTGAATTTAGGAAATTTATGTAATGGCGAAATTATATTGTTTAATTGCATATTTTGAGTCACTCAGTTCAATAATATGAATTCTATCAAGAAGAAGAAGGCTGATGTAATAATATTTGAAATTTAGAAGAGAAGAGGATGCTGACAGTTTACAAAGTTATCAAGATGCTTTGAAAGACATTCAGTAGCTATAATATAAGAAATATTTTGATAAAATGGTTAAATAACAATTTATTTAATTATTATTTTACCATATTCAACCAAACCAGTCAAAGAACCACCAGAAATGTGATATTAAAACTGTAAAGTGTGAGAAAAAGTGTTTCTTGATTGTTTTTACCTTATACAGTTTAAAACAGCCAGAATTCTATTCACACCAACTAGGTTCACTTTATGAAGCCATTTTGTTACATGCAACTGGGTACGTACTGAAGTTGAGGGAGCTAATTGGTCACACCCATGACCGGCTGAACTGGGGTTCGAATCTCAGCGTTGATACAACAATATTTCTTCCATTCCGTAAACACGTGAAGAGTTGCCAGTGTCCCCCACTCTTCAATCTGTACCCCTTGACTGTTAGATAACGGTACTATAACTCCCACATAAATGTGTAACAATTTTGTATTCACGGCTTTTTAGCTATACCAGTAGTAAATGGTTTCAAAACCGTAAAGGTGAAAAAATGTTCCTAACCATAAATGTTACGGTTAATAGGATGGACACACTGCTGTCGGTCATTTTACCTTAATTTCAAGAGGAAAATTCTAACAGTGTGATGCCTTTTTTATTTCAAATAGAATTGATAAGACATTGTTCTTTTTTAGCGGCTATGTGCATCAAAAAGTGTTGCAAGTAGAAAAAAAAACGAAAATAAACATCGAATAAAACTTATCTAAATTAAAATATTATTCACTGCATCGAAAGGAAAATACATTTCATATTATAGAAATTTACTTAAAACTAAATTTTTGTTCGGCAATCATAAATTCTGCTTTAGAAAGAAAGTTTACTTATAATATTCGTAACACCTCTTTTTTTCTAAATTTACGGAAACAAATGTTCATCTACATTACAAATACGGAAAAAGCATTCTACTTTTTTGAGGTTCGAAAGTAAACTGTTATTTCCTTCTAAAAATACGACAGTCGCAAAGAACATAACGAGTGGCTTTAACGTGATAATGGATAAAAGAGAGTAGATAGCTAAAAAAGTAACATTTATACCTGAAGTAAACAATTTCTTTAATTGTTTTTTCCCGTTGTCACAATGACATCGACAATTTAAAGGTGCTAAATATATAAATGCAAGGG